CTGCCCCCCGCCCGTTCAGTCCTAACTCCTGCGAGAGAGCCGCGGGGCAGCCGAAGGTCGTGCGCGCGTGCGCAGACGGGGACTGCGGGCGCCATGTTGCTTGAGCAGAACGGGGGGAGGTGGCGTCGGTGGTGATCGCTCCGAGTCGTCTTCTCCCTCCTCCTCCTCCCCCCCTTTCCCCCTACCCACCTGCTCACCCTCTTTCCTTCCTTCCCTTCCCCCACCTCGTCCTCCCGGGGGCTGCGACGGAGCGGAGTGAGGGGGCACCTGCGTGCTCCGGGAGGCGGCGCAGCATGAGTGTCGGCGGGGGGCGGGTGTGCGACCTGTCCCGCAGGAACCCCCAGGAGGACTTCGAGCTCATCCAGCGCATCGGCAGTGGCACCTACGGCGATGTCTACAAGGTGAGCGATGAAGGGAGAGGGGGCTGCTTCCCTCGGCTCCCGTCGCTCTTCAGCCTGCAGAAGTCCTCCACCCCGACACCCGCCCGTCGTCGGGCAACCTCGCCAACTCTTCCCCCGCCTTCCCTCTTGGGGAAGGTGCTTTGGGGTGGCCCTTCCTCCACCTGCGAATTTTCTGGCCTGGGTAACTTATTTCAACAGCATTTCCTCTCCCTTCCCCCTGATAACTATAGCCCCTTTTCTCTTCCCCAGCCCAGTTACAGGGTGGGTTTGACTCTCATCCTCAAATCAGGCTCTCTTTCTGTCTTATGAATGCAGCTGAGGTGTCACTCTCCATGGTGCTCCCTTCTAACTTTGGGGGGAGTGGATGGTCTGCCGTACAGATTTCTTCCTTCTGAGTTGGCATTATGACACTACCAGCACCAAAAAGCCCTTAAAAAGCTTTTCGGCATGACTAACCTGTCAATTTAAGTTAACTCTGTAAGGAATCTGTTCCCTTTACCTCCGGCACATGAGGTCAGGCATGGTGATAGAGGGAAACCGGCTTGTAACACAGATCATAAGGGCCAAGGCCCAACTTGTCCGTGTGAGCCTTTGCTTCTATGCTTGCCAAGGTGAGCCAGCCTGCAGCCCTCCTTCATATAGGCTGGTCTTTCGTCAGTGCAGATCTTCCCCAATCTGTCTGGGGTTTCTCCTTCCCATAGGGTACATTCAGACTAGGCACAGCCTTCCCAGCCAGGTTTGTCAGTAAAACCTGCCTCTGAATAATCCATCTCAATTTATTCCTTCCGCAGGGCCCATCAGTCAGAATCTTCCTGAGATCTATGATAATTCATACAGTGCTAATTTTCTTCCTAGTCATTTTTTTCATCCTCTCTTCCTCCAAAATCAGTGCTGTAAAGTTTGCTTTTCTCCCCAAGAAATACATCAACTGATAATTATTTTGACAGTCCCAGAAATAATTTGGTGTCCAACTGAGCTCTGAGCCTAAATGGTTTTCTTTCCTGATAGAAGCTGTCAATATATTTTCAAAAGCAGGGTATCTGCCTTTCCCCTTCTCCTTGACTCTCCCATTTCCAGAAAGGGAGATTAAGTGATAGGAGTATCTCTTTTGGATACCTGTTAGAAGTATTGTAAAGAGGCCCAATCCCAATCCAAAAATGCCATTAGGCATTTAGCAAAGTAGGACAGTTCTCAACACAGCAGCGCAGTGAGAAATGGAAGGGACAATTTAGAGTTATTTATATCTCCATGTGAATAGATGAACTTCATTTTCTCTTTTCTTAAAGTATCTTGGTTTGATAAATCAATGTTCAAGCATGCTTTTTATTCAAGTTATAAAGATATCTTTATAAGATATAAAAATAGGATGTGTGATTTAATGAAAATTTTATTGTATAGTTTTTTTCTTCAGCATCTCTTTTGTCTTACCATCCTTATCTAGTCTTTCCAAGTAATGAAAAAACTATTATGAGAAAGAATAGCAACAGAGAGATTACTAAATATATTTTAAGGCTTTTATGTACAGATCTATATCCCAGAGTTTTAAATCTTTGTTTGCAGTATGGCAGGAGAACAGATGCTCAGGAGAACTTTGGGAGATAAAATCATGAATGGAGCTCTTGACATTAAATAAGAGACTAAGACATGACTCTGAAATATGAGTCAGAGGTAGTAGCCAGGAACTTTTGCAGTCTTTGTTTGCCATCTTTAAGGAGGATAAAGGCAATGGTAAACTTTCAGAGTTATAATAGCTTATTAAGGTGGTTTTGAGGCTGAACTAAAAAAGTAACAAAGCATTTGGGAGGAGTCTCATCATTTTTAATTGAACTTTTAGAGACTTTCATGATTTCAAGACTCTGCATTCACAGTTTCTTCAAACTAGCAGAGAGATTTTTAACTCTGCAATTTTAAAGCTGAAAGAAAAGTATGAAACAATTGTTTACGTTTTCCTGTATCTAACTTTCCATTTTCCTAAAACACAATTTCAGGCTATTAAAGAAAAAAAAACTGTGTAAAGTATTGCTAGCTTAATTTCAAACTATTAAGCAAGGATTTACTAACTTTACTTATTTCTGCTGTTCTTCAATTAAGCATTTGAATTTCATCCTTTATTGGACAAAAGTATTTGCATCCTCTGATAAAGACATTCTTTTTAAAGTGTTGAATAGTTACAGAAGTGTTCATGTAAAATGTTGACATAATACATTAGATAAAGCTTAGAAGTACACGCTTAGATAAATTGTATTCAGATTATTTTAACACTGGTTTTCTATTACATGCCATAATGAAAAACAAACAAGATTGTGAAACTGGAATTAGTTGAAAGGCCATCTATAGTTGATTAAACTTTCTTTAATCAATACAGTCTATGGTTAATTAATAAAACACTGTTGCTGAGCAGGGGCCACAAAATGCTTGCCAATGACAAAGAGCAACTTGATTATGGCAACCAGCAAGGACCAGTTCCAATACACTACAACATCAAAATCACAAACACTCAAAAGCAATACAGGGAGACAAGTAATAGAGAATGCTGCTGCTTTAAAAAGATGTCCATACCTATCCTATACTAAGATGTCATGCTAAGATGTCCTAAGTGGAAGGAATGGGTTGGTGTGCACCCACAAGCATAATGGTTTGCATGCATATTTGCATACAAACACTTTACCCAATATTCCTACTGCATTAAAAGAAAAACTTTGCTTAGGCATCAAGTTCTGGTATAATTCTTTATTTTACTTCTGTGGCGCAAGATGTATGAAAGCAGAGTCTTACTGGTTTCTGTAATAGTGTTTAGCTACTAAATATACTCAAAACATGTTAATTAGGCAATTGACTAATATTAATGCCTCAAATCAATTAAAATGTTTCTTTGTTTGGGCTATGGCACTCTCAGTGCCCAAAGGCTTTCCAAATAGAGGGTATAACCAGTTGTAGCTGTTTCACAAACCTGTACAATTGGTCTAATATTTTTCAATATGTTGCATTTAAATTTTCCATTTTTAGCATGATTTCAAAATATATTGTGAAATGTGACACTTTAGTTTGAGAATTTATTCCCAGATGTAACTACTAATGGTTAGTATTACATTAGCAGAACTGAAAGCTATGTTATTGAAAAAGGGTATATATTTTTAAGACTGTGTCTAGCAATAATCATTCTTTTCATTCTACATTTATTTATTTATTGAGCTGTTCAGCCTTATAGTGACTTGCAAAAAATAATAAAAATATCCACAGTACTACGTAACTGTGTAAAACAATAAAACATTCACAATATACAACATGAAGCAACAAAACATCCAGGGTGAACAATATAAACACTAAACCATCCACAGTAAACTTTGTAACAATAAAACATCCACAATATCTACAGGTAGTCCTCAGGTTATGATCCTAATTAGGACTGGAATTTCCATTGCTAAGGGAAGCCGTCATTAAGCAACATCACATGACCGCGCCACTTAGCGATGGCAGTCCAGAGTGCAGTTGTTGACTGGGACTGCGCCTGGATCCAGGGCCAGCAATGGAAGGAAGAAGATGGCAAAGATCAGCTGGGGGCGGCAGTGGGGTCGGCAGGAGTAGGTAGTGGAGTGCAGGGCGGCCAAAAGGACCGAAGTGGGGGGGGAGATAGGGGGAGGGGGGAGTTGAAGCAGAGGCAGTTGTGCAGGGCAGGAGAATGTGACTGTGGGATTCTGTGACCAATCGTAAATGTGTGACGGTTGCCAGGTGCCCAAATTTTGATTACATGATTACATGATGCCGGGCCACTGCAACGGCTAGAACTTTGAGGACTGGTTGTAACTACCTTTTGTTCATTGCCATCGTAACTTTGAATGGTCTTGAACAAATGGTCATAACCTGATGACTACCTGTAATACCATAAATTAAACTGATGATAATCATTAACTATAAACAGTTGCACAGTGGACTTAAATTGGGATCAGGGATACACCTCAGCCAGGCATTCAAATGGAAAGGTATGCATTTTGAGCAGAATTAAATTTTGTTCAGCATGTTCGTCTAAATATAATTGTGTATTTGGACTAGGGATGGGCAGCCTTAGCTTGCTTTCAAAAATCTCTTGGTAAATTATCAGTTCAGACCTCTAATAAATGCTATTTATTCCTTCACTGATAGCCTGTTGCTTGGAATGGAGTGAGAGAGGGAGGCAAAGAGAGAGAGATTTTAGAAAGGGAGAGCCTTACCAGCGTTTGGCTCTGGTCCACTCACTGCTTACTTAAGTCACACCCACTATTGATATGTGGCCCTTGACAGATTACCTTTGAAGGAATAAGCCTTTGATGGGGGAAATAAAGTGCAATCCTCATTTTTATTGCCATCTAAAATATGTGAA